ACAGAATTGATGAATAATAAGGATCATGGGTGTAAGCATTTATAAGTTACATTAGGGAATTCCTCATCAATTTCTATTTTGTTCAATGTCTTTTTAACCAGTAATTAGTGTTGTAGAGATCACTTAAAAACAAACTCTTAAAAATGTATATTTCTTATTTATCAATAATACAAATATTTCTGTAAATGAGAAAGCTGACTTGGGACAAAGTACCAAGTAACAAAAAGTGTCCAATTATTTTATCTTGTCTTTTCTCATTATACCCACAGATTCTCTAACAAGACATATTAGTGTGTAGAGTTTGCAAAATACACTGGATCTTCACTCTTCTTTCATTGGATAGCATTTTATCTCTCTTTTTCCTAGTTATTTTCCTTCTGTTCTTCATAGGTCAACCCAAATTTCTTCAAAGAAACTTTCCTTCATCTCTCAAGTTTTGAATTTCTGCCCATTTCATTCTCTTTCATAGTCCTCTTTGTGGCATGTATTATATTTTTACTAGAAATATTAATTTTATAGAATTTATTTAATATCCATATCCCCAGATAAATGTAAGCTTCATGAGGGCAGGGAGTCTGTCTGGTTAGTTCACCATGCATCCTCAGCACCGAGCAAAGTACAGGCAGAGAAGACAAGCACGTAATGCCTCCATGAACAGACACGTAAATGAATAGGTGGATGGATGAGCACAAAGCCTTTTTTTTTAAAATTTTTTTTATTTATTTGACAGACAGAGATCACAAGCAGGCAGAGAGGCAGACAGAGAGAGAGGGGGAAGCAGGCTCTCCGCTGAGCAGAGAGCCCGATGTGGGGCTCGATCCCAGGACCCTGGGATCACGACCTGAGCCGAAGGCAGAGGCTTTAACCCACTGAGCCACCCAGGTGCCCCAGCACAAAGCCTTTCACAGACAATTACAGACATATCATTCATGAGTGGTTGTGTCTGATTTTTATGGGACAGTCAGCCTCAGGCTCTGCTGTGGAGCTACTTCGTTCTCAGGAGTCAGGCGGGAGTCTGGCGTGTTTGAATCTTCCTTCATGAATTATATTCATCAGAAATGACTGATTTGTGATTCGGATCTCCTGGTGATTTAATGTCTCAGAGGGCAGCTTTGGTTGTGACGACGTAAACAGCCCATTCTCCCATGTCACCTTTGATTTTAACTGAAGTGGAAGTACTTGTGGCCAAACTGATTCCAGGTCAGATTCGAGGGTTATCAGCTCATAGCACCTTCAGCTAGTCTTTTTGAGCGATTCTATTCACCAGCAAATTAATTTTCTAGAAACTCTCATAACTCTATCATTCCTTCTTCTTTCAATTATTTTTTTTTTTTTTTGATTTGTCTGGATTGGGAACCCAATTCTAGCTTTTAATGTTTTCTGTAAAGGAGATTTGCAAAGGCAGTTTTTCAAGCATTTTGTATAAATTATATCTATATCTATATATACAGTTATAGATATAGATATATATAAATTTAAAGATGGTATTTATTTATTTGAGAGAAAGAGTGAGAGAGAGAACCCAATGCGGGATTCGATCCCAGGACCCTGGGATCATGATCAGAGCTGAAGGCAGATGCTCAACTGACTGAGCCACACAAGTGCCCCCAAATATGCTATATTTAATAAATGTTATCATTTACAATTATAACTGTTACAAAATATAATGGTTACATTTGATCTGTGTTTTCACACAGCAAGGCTCTTGTGTTTTTCTGGTTCTCAGCTTTTTGGTTGTCCCATTTCTCTCTCCTTCCTGGGCCACACTAGCTCTACCTCACCCTCTAATCTTTTCCACAGAATGCAGACTGATAATACTGACATCTTCACCGACGGATCACTGTCTCAAATAAAATTTCCAAAATATTTGGAGAGGACCATATATGCAAGTATTATTTTAACCATGATATAAAGATTCCCGATTCCCGAAACAAGCAAGTTAGGATTCATGCTTGTGAGAGACATCTAAAAGGGGGGCCGGGGGGAGTCACAGAGTATCCATACAAAATTAAAACAGGAAAAAAAAAACCAAAACTTGGATCATTAGGCTCTTTGACTGACAACTGAGTGGGAAGGAGCTTCATTTCCCAGAATCTGCCCGAATACCATTAAAATTTACCTTGCAATTGCTTGAACATTTTTATCAGAAATGCTAATTTCTTCTGAGAAGAAGGTTATGAATTACATTTCAAGCAAAAAGAACTACAGATTTGGGACATCATTTATTCTTCATAAATCTTCATTTTCTTCTGTAGACACCCCAAATACAGCATTTTATAATTTAATTCACCATTTTGTCCCATTCACCAAGTCAAATCGACACCAAATGTGTTCCCATTAAAGGTTGTAGCTCACCATTCACTGGGACATACACAGCTGAAATCTCAGAATCATTCTAGACAATTTTTTGTTCGTCTTCGACACCTGTATAATGCCCATGCCTGTCACCTCACATGTTAATTTTGTTTAATGCATTCACTTCACTCTGACCACTTTAGCTCTCCCCAGGCTCTCTTCAGGTACCTGCCAGGCCAGAGCAGCGGCCTCGTACATGGGCGTGGTAACTCCCGCATATCTATCCTCTAAGCTGCAGCCAGAGCAACCTTGCACAATGGAAATCTGACCCCCGTACCCTCGTTTGTAACCACGCAGAAATATCTCCAGGATCCACAAAATGAAGCCCATGTTTCCTTTAAAAGCTTCAGAAGATTCACGAAATCCTATCTACCTCTCCTATATCTAGTTTCTTTTAGTTTCATGTTTTATGATCTCTACGAATGTAGTAGCTTCTACTGGTACCTAACCAGTTACCAAAGTTGGCTTCATAAAACAGCAGAGACTGACTGTCTATGGGTCAGGAATCTGGGTCCTCTGGTCGACTTGTCACAAGATTAAAATCGTGTTGGTTGGCCTGTGTGTTTCTTCTGCAGGTCGGTGTCCTCTCTCAAGCTCACAGGGCTGCTGACAGTATTCAGTTTCTTGCAATGGTAGCACTGAGGTCTCCTTCTCTTGCTGGCTCGTGGCCAGGGATGGCTCTGACCTCTTTCAGGCTCTTCTCAGTTCCCTCCCTGGGGACCTCCTCCACAGGCCCTCTCACACTTCAGTCTCTTTTCAGGAAGGCCCTGGATCCTGCTAAGGGCTTTTCTGGTTAGTCAGATATGCCCAAATGAACTCAAAGTCAATTGACTAATCACCTAATCATAGCACTGATATCTCATCATGTTTATATTTCCTTCTGGAACTAAGAGAATAAAGTGAAAATCTTAGAGAGGTCGTCTTAGACTCCTGCCCATCACAGGTACCGGTAACCAGTGTGGATTTGCTGCCAATACTCATGTTCGTGCTTGTGCTATTTCTTCTGAGGAAATGTTCCTTCCTAACTTTTGGTCCTGTTTGATCCTTGTTCACCATTTGAGATTTTGCTTAGGCATAATATTCTACAGAATATGTGTTTCCCTGAATTCACCACCTCAGCTAAGTTTTCCTCTGATAAGCTGTGATAGTGATGCCATGTGTGTATGTCTCCTAGCATGAGTCCTATCCACCTAAGACTGTGTTAACTGGTTTGTTCCCCAAGGGCAGATTATTAGGCACTGACGCCACCATAACAAAATACCATAGACAGTGGCTTCAACAACAGACATTTAGGTTTTCAGTATTCTGGAAACCAGACGTTCAGGTCAGGATGCCAACATGGTCAGTTTCTGAAGAGATTTCTCTTCCTGGCTGCTATAGGTTGCCTCCATCCTGCTGTGTGTTCTCATGACCTCTTCTATGTGAGCAGAGAGAGAGAGAGAGAGAGAGAGAGAGCGCGTGCTCTGGTGCCTCTTCTGAACGAGGGCACTAATCCCATCATGAGGACACCAACCTTCATGATCTCATCTAACCTGCATCACACTTTACAAAGGACCTGTCCCCAAATACAGTCACATTAAAGGTTAGAGTTTCAATATATGAATTTGGGGGACACAAACATTCAGTCCATAGCAGGTAGGGATGGTGACTACTTCTCCTTTGTAATACAAATGCACAATAGCCTTTCAACAATATTTTTAACTGAACTGGTCTTGTAGGGCCAAACTCATCATATTTGTTGTCTTTTCTTTGATTACCTCTATCATCCAATTAGTTACCACTTCTTATGCTCTAATATTGCTTTATACCCTTGTAAATAATTTAATGCCTCGAGGTCCAGCTTTGACCATACCACTCCATTAACTAATTAGTGTACAAAAATAAATCCAATATTCCTTAACCTGATCTGGCTCCTGAGGTCCAGAGAGAGATGAAAACACTGAGATAAATGTTTTCCTTTTAATTGCAACATTATATCCTAAATCCAAAACAGAAAGACATAAATGTTCTATGATAGGGGATTGTTCATGCTACTTACATGTTAACAACAGTAAATAATGTATTCACTGAAATGATATTATAGAAAATACTAGTATCAGATAATAATCATGCTGGATTATTAAGTACAAAATCAATTTAAAGAAACTATGTGTTGTTATTGTATTATTTGTTTTCCTATCTAATTCCCTGGCCCCTTCACATAAACTGTATGATCCTTCAGGAAAAGGGCTGTATTTTACACATCATTATGTCTCTGGAACTAAACAGATTATTGACAGAGAGTAAACACTGAAAAATGTTTATTGCTTTGACTGAGTTGGCTGAAACCAAGTGGGAGAGATATAAAATGTGAACATATTCTTAGTAACACAGAGATACACATACTGCCATGTATTAGTGTGAAACAGTAAATGACAAATATGTCACATATATTTTGAAGCAAAATTAAAACTATCAATGTAGTTATAAAAATAAATCCACCTTTGGAGATGGAAGGCATTAAACTATTTCCTATTGCCCCTTCTAAGTACAGGCAGCAAGTTTTCTCATTTTAAAATATTTCTTTACCTGGTGTAGTTATAATATTATTTCAGTTTTATTAAATAGGCTAAATGTATTGCTTTTCAAAATTCTTTGACTGTTAAAAAAAAATTCTTTGACTGTTTTCCTTACTCTATATAGTTTATATAGAACACAAATATATTCTGATAGACCTCTATGAGCATCTGCAGGTGAACAATTCTTTAAAGCCTGCAGCTCTAACGGTCCGAAGTAGCTAGAGAAACAGTTCAGTTAGTCAGAATGAACCGTTCCAGTCCCGAAATTGTCAATCATTTAGTTATGGATTGTATTGCCTGTATGTTCTTCCTCTTCCTACATAAAGAGGTTAGTTTTTTCCTTGCTGTGGGCACTCTGCATTTCCCAAAACAACTATCTTTTGACATGAAAAACAATTTCCTACACTACGTCAGCAGGACGTGCAAGAAGGACAAAAATAAGTGATTGTATGTGACTTATCGTTTCCCCGAAGTTCAGGGGGTGTGTGTGTGTGTGTGTTTGAAAATATCTATGTGTGCGTGTTTGTATTTAGTAGAGAACAGTAATTTTTATAGACGGAACAAACAAGACATAGCATCTTGCTTTATTTTGAGATCAACATAGAACTATCGGGCACAAATATTCATTTATCTATTTAACAAATATTTGTTGAATATTCACTATTTGCTATCATATTGTGTCAGAAAGTAACTTTAAAGTAGTGAGTGAGAAAGACATATAACATCTACTCCAAAGCTTATTCTTTTTTTTTTTTTTTTTTTTGGTGCTTATGCGGCTAGAGGTCAGTGGTGAGAGGAGGTCAATTTTACTCTCTTAGCAAATTTCAGTTATATGATATTGTTACCAACTATAATAGCCTTGTTATCCATTAGACCTTCCAACTCGATCCTATAACTGAAAGTTTATATCCTTTGACCAAACTCTTCCTATTTCTCTCATCCCCCCAACTCCTGGCAATCACTCATAGGCTCACTGCCATTCTCCCATGGCCCACTTTCTGTTTCTGGAAGAAGAATCTGGTTTTTTCTTTTAATTATTTATCCATAAGCTTTGGAAGTTATCCTTTCCCATTCCCTCTCCCCAGTTTTACCTAAGGTTTTCCCCCAAAGGCACAGGGGACTGGCACAGTACCTGTTCCCCACCAAGGCAATGGCACAGAGGTCACCCTTCTGTACCTGAGGCAGACCAGCAGGGGGCACCACGAGGCTGGGCAGCATCAAATCTGTGGGAAATGAGACAAAGGCATCACAACCCACATTCTGTCTCTAAACAATTCCAAGTTTGCCTTCAACATTAATTCATTCACTCAACCAACAAACACTTATTAAGTATCAACTAGGTTATTCATAATGAAAATTAGGAAATGCAACCTGAGCATCAGACCTTTTCCCTTCCGGGGTTAGTGGTCAAACTGAAGCACCAAGCTGAGGGTCAGGTTCCATGATCTCTTGCTCTGCTTTTCCTGACTTTAGCTTATTGATGTAAAGCAGAGCATATGGTCGTTCACAGAGTACTTTCTGCTCTAAGTACAAAGTACGAAGCTTATTGAAGCCTTTCAACGGGGTTGTAGAGGCCCAGGGACCTTATGGAAGCAGCCAGTTGAGGGAGGAAACATACATGTGTGAAAAATTTCATTTTTCAATGGTATGAACACAAGAAATGGGTGCATTTATTCAAGTAGTTGGCCATTACTAAGTAAGTTTCAGCCAATAGCCAGAATACAGGAAAATCCTCTTACCTGCTCCTCCGACCAGTTTTTCGAGCACCAGAGGCCATGTTGTGAACGTTGGGAGAAGATCAGGATAGGACCACAGGTGTACACGGCCCAAAAAGAGACACAGGAAGACTTATTACCAAAAGGTCAATCTCTGAGGGAACTGGACAAGCCAAACACTAAGGTCATTTTAATTAAGAAACAGAAAAGAACGTCAACTCAAAGCTAGAAAGGAGGCTGTGAGGCCCTAAGAGGTTTCCTTCTTAAAGCAGGCAGATACTTAAAAAATGGGATGTCTCTTGAGACTGGGAGGCCCCTGTGATTCCACCTGGATACAGCAATGGCCACGGCACAGGAGATAAAAGCGGACAGAGACCCAACGAGGATTCCATCAGGGAACTCAGAAGCAAGTAAGCAAAGAACGGGGCACCAGCCTGTAGGACATGTTGAAACTTCCCCATGTTCACTCCTTTATTCCCCCTGTGTTCCCAGTGACTAGCAGTAAAACCTTAGATTGAAAAGGGCCTGTGTCTGCATAGGCGCAAAGTGGGCTGGGGGCACAGGTAACCTAAGGAGACCCCACTGCACTGCTGCAGCCGAGCTGGGGGAAGAAGAGCCCCAAGTGACAAAGACAGAAAGCAAAGGATCCCGAGAGCCAGTTAGAGCCTAAGAAAGAATCCCTGTGAGATATCTGCACTGAAGGACATCACTGGACAGCTGGGTATGTAGTTCCATTAACCCAGCTTCCTTCCTATTCAGTTTCTTAAGAAAATCCTGCTACTGATAATTTTAAAAATATATTTTACATATCCTGAAATTTCACTCTTTTCGAGACCTCTCCTCCATCCCTACTTAACCCATGATGAACTATTATTCCTTCTTCTCAGAACATCCCTTGCCAACTACCCTCTTCCTGAGTTAGATCTTTTATTCTCCCTCCTATAGCAGTTTTTGATCTTCAAAGACCCAATTCTAGGGACACTGGGTCCAAAAAGATCCTTAGGGACGATATTGGGAGATTCTGTACTTCACGTTTTAAGTAAGGCAGGTTAATGAAAGAAAGAAGGAGAAACAGAGGTTAGGCAAGGATTACAGTAATGTCCCTCTCCATCCTATTGGCATACCTGTTGGGTATAGATTTTTCTCCAGTTCAAGCAGGATGGGGTTACCACCACACACATACACAGTCACTGCATCTCCCCTGTGAGCATATAACTTCACAATGTTGAGCTCTTCCTTTCCAGGTACTAAGGCAGAGACCTGATCTGTTCCAAGAGTCAGGAAAGCAGCCGCCACATCAGCCCAAAGCTTTCTCCTGCGTTAAGCAAACCAATGCTTGGCATGAATCCTGCCTGGATGGATTTTAATAAATTCAAAGGACTCCGGAGGACCTACTATAAAATCACAGGGGCCAAGGAAAACTGGTTTATGATGCCCTATATATGGTATATGATGCCCTACTCTTCCAAAACATCCTATCCTCTTCCTCATTCAATGTCTCACGTAGTTTCACATATTCCTAGGGGCAAGTCTTTCCATTTCACAAACAAGGAGGAAAACTGAGATCTAGTGAGTAACCAAGTTAGCCTGACTAGAAACTCAGCCTTGCCCTCCGACCCACTCCTTTCTCTTATCTGCCTGGCAAATCTGTCAGCTTATGGTCAAAAAGCTATAAGAAGGTACCAAGAGTGACAACTAGGGAACACTGGTCCCAAACTTCACAACATGGTATCAGCATCAGCAACATTATGTACAGATAACAGCAACACTGTGTAACAGACACAGTTCTTAAAACATGTGCCTTGGTTCTCTCCCACCTCACCCTCCACTGTCTCTCCTGCGAGAAGTAGATCCCTTTTTTCCTATAGTCGTAGTTTTCGGTGTCCCATCTGATTTTTCCTAAGGGACTCGAAGCGCTGTGGAGGGCGGGGGCCTGTAATTGTTCGTGTTTGCAGCCCCCACACCTTATCTCGGGGCAGTCAGGAAGCGCTGACTGAATTACGTTTTCCTTTACTAGCCTGGGAGACACACTAAGCCTGTGCTCCATCTTCGTCCTCAAAATGTGTCTAACCCACCCTTGCTCTCCGGGGTCCCATCCTGGCTGGACTTCCCCTTGGCCTCCACCCCAGGGCGGCGGACCCCTTCTCTCCCTCACCTGTCCGACCCCCTGATGGCCGTGTTGAACTTAACCCGAAAGGCCTTGGCAAACATGTCTGCTGGCGTGACCTGGGGAAGGCAAGGAGCACACAGAAGCCGGGGGCTGTCGGGAAAACGAGAAAGCGGCGACTTCCCGACTCGCAGCCCTGTGCGCAGCCATGTTGCGGCCCACCTGGAAAATAGGTTCGGCTGGAAACCCGGACCACTCAGCTTCTTAACTACTGGCGCTGCGGGGACCGCGGCCTCCCCCAGTGGCAACTCCAGGAACTGAACCTGGGTGGGCGGGGCCTGGGGAAGGCGGGGCGGATTCCCGCTCCAGCGCCATACCTTGGCCGGGCTTTGCGCCTGCGCGAATTGCAGGCGCCCCCGGGGTCCCAGTGACCTGGCAGTGGCGACCAGGATGACTTAGTTTCCACTCCGTCGGGGTTGCATTCTGTCAGAGTTTGCCCCGCATGTTATAAGGAGAAAACTACAAATGATCTTCAAGTCTATTTTAAAATATTTTTGGCGATTTTCAGATAAATTTTTCAAAGCTTTATTGCTTTTTGAGTTCAGGCGTTATTTTGATAGGGGCGTTTCCAAAACTAATGAAATAACGTTTCTTATTTAAAAAAAAATCTGCGAGGCAGATTAGTTTCAAATTATGGTTTGACTTCTCCCTATCGATGTCACGTACACGGGTGGGGGATGATGCCAGACTGTGTTGTTGACTAGGTCGACTGCAGCACAGCTACTGAGGCAGCCTCTGCCCAGGCAGAAGACAAAGGTTATTCAAGGGAATATTAGAAATAGATACTAAAAATAAATAAACCATAAGTAAATGCGAAAATGGCAACGTAGATGTAATATAATCTCCCTTCTCTATAAAAAAAGGAGATTAATGAACACTGGAAAGATGTCAGAAACCAATAAAAATATAACTTTTTGAAATGAGGAAACAGATATGATGAAAGTAAGACTACTCTGCATACTTCTTATATTACTTTGACTTTTGATGTATGCAGGTGTTTAGGGCGCCTGGTGCCTCAGTGGCTGAAGCTGACTCTTGGTTTTCAGCTCACATCATCGTCTCCCGGTGGTGAGATCAGGTCCCACATCAGGATGGTGCTTGGCTTGGAGTCTGCTTGAGTTTCTCTTTCTCTCTCTCTGCCCCTCCCTCCTTTCTCTCTCTCAAATAAATAAATAAAATCTTTTTAAAAATGTAAATGTTTTTTATATATATTTTTTAAAAAGTTTAGCGTAAAAGAGAAAGAAGTGAAATCTAAAATCGAAAAAAATACTAATGCAAATAGTGTAAAACTCTATTAATTTGGTAAGTGAACCAATCAGAGGTAAGGATTATTTCAATTCATTATTTAAAAAGATTTTATGTATTTATTTGACAGAGGGAGATCACAAGTAGGCAGAGAGGCAGGCAGAGAGAGAGGGAAGCAGGCTCCCTTCTGAGCAGAGCGCCTGATACAGGGTTCAATCCCAGGACCCTGAGATCATGACCTGAGCCTATGACAGAGGCTTAACCCACTGAGCCACCCAGGCGCCCCTATTTCAAGTCATTTTTGAGGAGAATACTTAAACTCAGGAGTCAAACCTACTGGGACAAAATAAAGGCAAAGGCATTTTAACCTTCATTCAGTAGTTTAACTGCTAACAGTAATGTTTGCATTATTATTTTTAAAAATACTGAAATATGAGAATATGTGAATAAAGAGAAAAGACAGAAAATGTATTTAAAAGTTTCTTATCCCTGTATTATTTATAACACTGAATTGTAAGATCCAATAGGAGCCAATGAATTTTAAATTTCATTTCTACTTCAGCTTTCCCACAAGCAAAAAGACATTTAAAGACATTTCAACAGTATTGAACATTCCCATGTAGTACCAATAACACAATTCTTGTGTTTTAAACACTATTTCCCAATAAAAAGATTCAGACCGTTTTGGAAAGCTGTATGATTATGGGTATTGGTCAGGGAGGTATACACTGAGCCTAGAGCATTGTGTTGTGCCAAAAAGAAAAGAAACACTCAAAGACGAGTGGGTATAACAAAGCAATCAGGACAAGGTTCAAGAGGCACTCACTAGCCAGATTTGGGATAATTTGAGCTTCAAAGAATAATGACTATAATTATTTGTGACAAAATGAATAAATAAAAATTCCATGCTGATAGATGTTAAAAAAAAAAAAGAAAAAATCTTTAAAGCCATCACTGGTCACTATCATCAAGTTCTTACTCTAAATATTGGAAATTAAAGAGCATAAATTAACACTCATCTTCACACAAGAATGACAATTAGTAAGTAAAGAAAAAGAATAGAATTCATTTTAAAAATCTCCAACAATGAAAATGATTAATTATACGCTATATTGATTACAGGTTAAGAGTCATAAACAGATTCCACAAACATTAGGTGAAAAGTTTTGGAGAAATAGTATATATAAACCAATATTAACAGCAAAGATAACTTGCCAATTGTAACAATGTTCCTTTCAATGTGAGAAAACTGGCTGTCGCTTGTGTTTCAGATTTAGATAAATTGACTCCATTGGAGACAGCCAGTTTCTCATTCTAAGAATGCCACTGGATTCGATGCAAAATGAAGTAATAAGATATCACCTTAAAGCATTTTTATCTTAATTATATCTTTATTTTCATCTTAAAGTTTTCATGGTTTTGTAGAAGTTAAAAATGTTCACAGTCAACTGATTTCAACTAATTATGTTGTTTGAAATGTATGAACATAAAAATTGTATTTCAGACTCTTGTGGTTGAATGATTCCAAAACCCCCTTGAGCAGCAAAATCATGAGGATGTCATTAGACTTGAAGATCATTAGCAAAAAGGTCCTCCTAATTCTCCACATATACCATCTTACTTTTAATATATTCTTATTTTATTTTAATTTTAAAATGATTTATTTCCATATTTAAGTAACCTCTACAGCCAACGTGGGGCTCAAACTCATGACCCTGAGATTGAGGGCACACTCCACTGGTTGAGCCAGCCAGGCACCCAAATAAAATAACCATCTTTACTGTAGTTCAAAGGTGATACAAAGACAGAAAACATGGAAAATATAGGTGAGCATTAAGGACTTAAACAACAACTCTTTTTTTTTTATTTTTATTTATTTTTAAAATTTCTTTTCAGTGTTCCAGAATTCGTTTATGCACCATACCCAATGCTCCATGCAATAGGTGCCTTCCTTAATACCCACCACCAGGCTCACCCAACCCCCCATCTCTCTCCCCTCCCAACCCTCAGTTTGTTTCTCAGAGTCCACAGTCTCTCCCCCTTCTAGTTGCCCCAACTCCCTTCTCCTCTCCATCTCCCAATGTCCTCCATGTTATGATTTTTATTATTGCTCCACAAATAAGTGAAACCATCTGATAATTCTCTCTCTGCTTGACTTATTTCACTCAGCATAATCTCCTCCAGTCCCGTCCATATTGATACAAAAGTTGGGTATTCATTCTTTTTGATGGAGGCATAATACTCCATAGTATATATGGACCATATCTTCTTATCTGTTGTAGGGTATCTTGGCTCTTTCCGTAGTTTGGCGACTGTGGCCATTGCTTCTACAAACATTCAGGTACAGATGGCCTTTCTTTTCACTACATCAGTCTCTTTGGGGTAAATACCCAGTAGTGCAATTGCAGGGTCATAGGGAAGCTCTATTTTGAATTTCTTAAGGAATCTCCACACTGTTTTCCAAAGTGGCCGCACCAACTTGCATCCCCACCAACAGTGGAAGAGGGTTCCCCTTTCTCCACATCCTATCCAACACATGTTGTTTACTGTTTTGTTAATTCTGGCCATTCTAACTGTGTAAGGTGGTATCTCAGTGTGGTTTTGATTTGAATCTCCCTGATGGCTAGTGATGAACATTTTTTCATGTGTCTGTTAGCCATCTGTATGTCTTCTTTGGAGAAGTGTCTGTTCATGCCTTCTGCCCATTTTTTTTTTTTAATTTATTTGACAGAGAGAGATCACAGGTAGGCAGAGAGGCAGGAAGAGAGAGAGGGGGAAGCAGGCTCCATGCCGAGCAGAGAGCCCGATGTGGGGCTCGATCCCAGGACCCTGAGATCATGACCCGAGCCGAAGGCAGAGGCCTAACCCACTGAGCCACCCAGGTGCCCCCTTCTGCCCATTTTTTGATGTGATTATCTGTTTTATATGTGTTGAGTTTGAGGAATTCTTTATAGATCTTGGATATCAGCCCTTTGTATGTCTTCATTGGAGAAGTGTCTGTTCATGACTTCTGCCCAATTTTTGACATGATTATCTGTTTTGTGTGTGTTGAATTTGAAGACTTCCTTATAGATCTTGGACATCAGCCCTTTGTACTGTCACTTGTGAATATTTTCTCCCATTCCGTGGTTAACCACCAACTCTTACCCCTAGCATTTCTGAATTCAACTATAGTTATTATAAATATTTTATTGTACTTCCTGACCATCTTTGTTCTATAAACATTTATGCGGGATCAAGTTATACTCTGTGTATGTGTGTGTGTTTATACTTGGTATAGGATTTTTTGGTCACTTTTCATGTTATAGTATGCCAGTTATGTACCCAAGTAGATTCTATTTTCTCTTTATGATTTGTTCAAATTTTTATGTGTGCTAGGTAGCCATCTTGTAGAAGATCTTGCATTTCATCATTTGGTAGATAGGCAAAAGTAGATAATAACTACTTACATCTTATTATTAGTGTAGGTATGACATAGTTAGGCTTTTATGTATTTTTTTTAAATTTTATTTTTTATAAACATATATTTTTATCCCCAGGGGTACAGGTCGGTGAATCGCCAGGTTTACACACTTCACAGCACTCACCATAGCACATATCCTCCCCAATGTCCATAACCCCACCCCCCCAACCCCCTCCCCCCCATCAACCCTCAGTTTGTTTTGTGAGATTGAGAGTCACTTATGGTTGTCTCCCTCCCAATCCCATCTTGTTTCATTTACTCTTCTCCTACCCCCTTAACGCCCCATGTTGCATCTCCTCTCCCTCATATCAGGGAGATCATATGATAGTTGTCTTTCTCTGATTGACTTATTTTGCTAAGCATGATACCCTCTAGTTCCATCCACATCGTCGCAAATGGCAAGATTTCATTTCTTTTGATGGCTGCATAGTATTCCATCGTGTATATATACCACATCTTCTTTATCCATTCGTCTGTTGATGGACATCTAGGTTCTTTCCATAGTTTGGCTATTGTAGACATTGCTGCTAGAAACATTTGGGTGCACGTGCCCCTTCGGATCACTACATTTGTATCTTTAGGGTAAATACCCAGTAGTGCAATTGCTGGGTCATAGGGTAGTTCTATTTTCAACTTTTTGAGGAACCTCCATGCTGTTTTCCAGAGTGGTTGCACCAGCTTGCATTCCCACCAAGAGTGTAAGAGGGTTCCCCTTTCTCCGCATCCTCGCCAGCATCTGTCATTTCCTGACTTGTTAATTTTAGCCATTCTGACTGGTGTGAGGTGATATCTCATTGTGGTTTTGATTTGTATTTCTCTGATGCCGAGTGATGTGGAGCACTTTTTCATGTGTCTGTTGGCCATCTGGATGTCTTCTTTGCAGAAATGTCTGTTCATGTCTTCTGCCCATTTCTTGATTGGATTATGTGTTCTTTGGGTGTTGAGTTTGCTAAGTTCTTTATAGATTTTGGACACTAGCCCTTTATCTGATATGTCATTTGCAAATATCTTCTCCCATTCTGTCAGTTGTCTTTTGGTTTTGTTAACTGTTTCCTTTGCTGTGCAAAAGCTTTTGATCTTGATAAAATCCCAATAGTTCATTTTTGCCCTCGCTTCCCTTGCCTTTGGTGATGTTCCTAGGAAGATGTTGCTGCGACTGAGGTCAAAGAGGTTGCTGCCTGTGTTCTCCTGAAGGATTTTGATGGATTCCTTTCTCACATTGAGGTCCTTCATCCATTTTGAGTCTATTTTCGTGTGTGGTGTAAGGAAATGATCACCAAAATACTAGCCAATAGGATTCAACAGTACATTAAAAGGATTATTCACCACGACCAAGTGGGATTTATTCCAGGGCTGCAAGGTTGGTTCAACATCGGCTTTTATGTATTTTTGAAGTGAAATCACCTTATAGATGGAGAAAAGCATTTTCTCCCATTTCCTCTGAACAGAGAGTCTCAGACAGTCCCAGAAGTAATGGAAGAAGCTTTGAGAAAGTTAGAGGGAAAGATGGATGGAAGTAGGCACTGGAGTGATTGAATCTAGTTTCTTGCTGTAAGTATTTTATGAGTAGGACACAAAGTATTTTATGAGTAGGACACAAGTTTCAATGAGGTGCTTTTAAGAAGTGATTTATTCATCCCTCTGATTATCATCACATCATGCATATAATATTCAATACAAATTCTGATTTATGAATATAAGTGAGTTACACAATACTTAAAAAAATAAACTGAGAATTGGATTGATAATGAAAAATTCTGAGTAAATGTACATATTTTAATTTTAGGACTGCATCTTAATCATTGTTTTATCCACATTCAGGATATAACAGTTTCCCATCATGACACGTGGCTCGGAATGTATGTGCTGGTGTCTTTCTACAATATCCAGAGAGACAGTCAAATTCAATCACTTCCCCTGTTGTAGAATATATTTTTGTCTTATAAGACCATTGAAATTTTATATTATGTCTTCTCATGATTTCTTCTGATACTATACAGGGCTCTAAAAAAAAAGAACATAAAATATTGAAAACAGAATTTCAGACTTTCAGATAGAATCTTCTACACTGGTCCAGGGCTTCATTTCCAAAACCTTTCTCAAACCAATTCATTGAAAGACCATCGTGTCCATTTTAATCACTTTAAATGATGAATGATGCAAAATGAGGTGTTATGTTTAAGCTGTGATAATTAAATGTTATAATCAAAGATTCATAGTATCAATGAAATCAAGTTCTTTCATTAAAGGATCTTTTGCTTGAAACAGAGGTTTTTTCTTCCAACTTTATTTCATTACACATTAGTACTTGGTATTCAGCATTCAATGAATGTTTGTTAACCCATGACAAGTCTATTAATAACAGCAAAGCATCTATTATACTGATTTTCCCAGGATCCATGAGAATAGTGAAATATTTACCTAAGCATTTTGGTGGTGGTGGTGACCACTTTCCATTTCTGCATATTATGGTCCGGGGTCCCTGAAATACATAGAAGACCTGACATTTGTACTCTACTGACGATCCTGGAGCATATGCTACTAGTGGGAATGAGGTAATGTCTCCATTGTCAATAGATGGAGGAGACACACATTTTCCACTAGGTTCTAAAAAAAAAATATTTGATTTATTGAAAGACCAAAGAAAAACAGGTTAAAATAAAGCAAATAAAAAAGCAATATCAAGACTTGTGATTTCTGCCAACAGAAATGATTCATTTAAGCAATTTTATTTTATTTTTAAAAAAAGATTTTATGTATTTATTGAGAGAGAGAGAGAGAGAGAGAATGAGAGAGAGAGAGTGTCAGGGAGACAGAGAGAGCACAAGCCAAGTAGGGGGAGGCAGAGGGAGAATCAACCTCCCTTATGGGCAGGGAGCCTGATGTGGGGCTCCATCCCAGGACTCCAAGATCACGACCTGAGTAGAAGGCATCCACTTAAACAATAAACAATGGTTAAGTTGCAGTCCTAATGTTAAGATATGTCACATTACATATGTTACAAAAATATGTAACATTAAAATAACCAACTGAGCCACCCAGGCACCCCCACTGAAGAAATTTTAATCACTTAAACTGAGAATCACACTTTTAAACCTTTCCTTTTATACCTCATAAAAGCATACATAAGCATTAACAAATATGTCTGCTTTACCATATTCTGGTGTTAAAAAGTGTTTTTCCTCCTGAATCAGTACTGGGCAGATGGATAGCTAATAGGAATAAGGAAACTTTCTTGCTACATATAACATACTGCAGTTTCTATTGGATCTCTAGTCATTGTTTATTGATTGTCATTTCTATTACAAAAGGAACATCAACTTCGTTAATTAAAGTGAAAGAATTACACACTTGTGTAATGGGAAAGGGAATTGCTGGCTTGCTGTTCTGGACAGAATGAGGTAGGAAACTTTGTGCTTATTCCTTCTGCTCAGTATCACTAAAAATCCTGAACATATTATAAAGACCAACAAAAGAGATTGTGAAGGATGCTGAGAAGATGTTGATCTGATCTGAGGCCTTAGTATTCAAGGAATCATACTGCAGTGAGTTGTTTGGGTTTTCATGTTGCCGCCTATGGATCCTGGACGGGCACTGAAGAAGACTGGAACCAGAAATGAGATCAAGTTCAGGGGAAAAAAAGTCCAAAGAATTGCCTGCTGTCTTTAGCCAAAGGCTCAGGAAAGGAGTATGCTAGCAAGACAGAATTTTTTTTTTTTTTTTTTTTTTTAACAATACTTGAATTACTCCTGAAGAAACTCCTAGAAGAAACCTCGACCATCCATCTCCCCATGTGGATCAAAGGTCAAGCGTGGAGCCTTGACTTCCAGCCACAGTCAGGGAACAAGACACCTCACTTCTTTCCATGGTGTCAGTGGAGGCCAAGTGGGCAGCCTGGACTTGCACTCTGCAGTAATGGAGGCCTGATAAATAAGAGATTTCAATAAAATCCAGAGTCTTAAAATACAACACCCGAAATTCTAAAATACAATTGAAAACCATTCATCACAGCAAGGACCTGGAAAAATTTCAGAAGAGAAAAGATAATCAACAGATCACAACACTGAGATGACACAGATATTGGAATCATTTGATGATGGTTTTTAAAAATCTAGTGGGAATTATAGAACTGAAAAATATCATAGTGGAATTAAAAAAAAACCTCACTGGAGGGACTCAATTATGGATTACGGATGACAGAAGGCTAAATAAACTTGAATAAGAATATAAATGACTCACTTTGAAAATAGATTGAAAACAAAACCAAAAAAACTCTCAAAAATATGGACTGAAAGCTTCCCAAATTTTTACAAGGCATAAACATTCATATTGAAAAAGCCAAACAGGACAAACCCCTCAAAATTCATACCAACATACACCATAATAAAACCGAGGAAAAGGAAAGGAAAAGAAAAAAATATCAAAAGCAGCTACATAAAAACTATGCAAACTAATAAGGGAGAAAGGATTCAAATGTCAGTGGGGTCTTCATCTGTGACCTTCAAAGCAGAAAGAAGTGACAACATTTTTCAAGTTAGAAGACAAGAACTGTCAGCCCTGAATGCTTTTTCCCATCATAGTATCCTTTGGGGTTTAAGGGAGAGAAGAAGATATTCTGAGACAAAGGGAAACGGAGCATTTATCTCCAGCAGATCTGTCTTTAAAGAATTGCTAAAGGAATACTTCAGATATCAGGAAAAAGATAACAGAGCAAGGACAGAGACTTCACTAAGGAATCAAAAACAACGGTCTGAAAAAATTAAGGGTAAATATGATGGAGTTTCTTTTTCCTAAGGAGTTTGTCAGGTTTGGTGTTTGTGCAACATTATATCATTTGATATGGTGCTCAATATATGTAGAAGAAATACTTCAGACATTTATGTTTGAACTGTGGGGAACTCATGGGTGCCTGGAAGGCTCAGTCAGTTGGTTAATTGTCCACTCTTGACTTTAGCTCAGGTCATGATGTCAGAATTGTGAAACTGAGCCCTGTGTCGGGCTCCAAACTAGGCGTGGAGTCTGCTGAAAATTTTTTCTCTCCTCCCTCTAACACTTCAATCCCTCTCTCTCTCTCTCTCTTTCTCTCTCAATAAATAAGTAATAAATAAAATAAAATAAAATGTGGGGTGAGTAAATGGACCCTAAGTGGAAGTAAGTTTTCCTCATTTCACTTGAAGTGGCAAAATGTCAAAACCAAGGGGAGGGGGCGCCTGGGTGGCTCAGTGGGTTAAGCCTCTGCCTTTGGCTCAGGTCATGGTCTCAGGGTCCTGGGATCGAGCCCCACATTGGGCTCTCTGCTCAGCGGAGAGCCTGCTTCCCTTCCTCTCTCTCTCTCTCTGCCTGCCTCTCTGCCTACTTGTGATCTCTGTCTGTCAAATAACTAAATAAAAATCTTAAAAAAAAAACAAAACAAAAAACCAAGGGGAGAAGTGACAAGCTATATATGTGCATCTTAATACCTTGAGCAACCATGGATAAAACTATACAAAGAAATATGTGCCAAAACAATAAAGACATATCAAAATGAGATTATTTTAAAATATTCCAAAAAATCCACAGAATTGGCAAAAAAGGAAATGAGAGTGAGAAACATAGGAAAGAAACACAAGGCAAATAACAAAATCACTGACACAGCCATTAATCTATCAATAATTACTCCAACTGTAAATGGTTTAAATTCTTCAGTTAAAAGACTGAGCATGGCAGAGTGGACACACAAACAAGAGCTGACTATATGGCAACTAAAAGAAACTAACTTCAATGTGAAAACATACGTGGGCTCAAAGTAAAAGACTGGAAACTATATATGCCAGGCAAAATTTGATTTGAAAAGCAACCAGCTATAATATCTCCTCTTTATAATACTTCTATCTCCTTATAATATCTCCTCCTATAATATTTCCAAAACTCTAAATACTGGATTGTGTTATGACCAGGTTCTCAGAGTTTTTTCAGTTGAGCTCAGCTAGAAACCTACCTTTTTATAGTCTGCATGCTGAAGAAGCCCAAATTTATATCACATTCCATGATCATGCCCCAGATGCTGATTGATTGTGTGTCTCAAAGTGAAATAGGCCCCACCCCCCCAACATATGTTTAGTACATTTATTCCTCAGGAAATAACTGAGCTTCTTAACACTTAAGATAGAGAATTTTCTGGGCGCCTGAGTGGCTCAGTCAGTTAAACGTCTGACTCTTGATTTCTGCTCTTGTCATACTCTCATGGTCGTAAGATCGAGTGTTGGGCTCCACACTCAGTGTGGCGTCTGCTAAAGATTCTCTCTGCCCCTCCCCTTGTTCCTCCCTTCACTGCTTACACTCATGTGCTCTCTCTCTAAAAAAAAAAAGAGAGAGAGAGAGAGAGAGCGAGAAAGAGAGAGAGAGAATTTTCCATGACTCCAACTGTCCTAAAGTGGTCAAATCTTCCATAAAATAAATATATATTATCATTATGCAGTCTACAAAAAGAAAAAAATTGGATTTTAAGCACCACCATTTTATTTGAGATGAAAAAAAGATTCCATAAGAACTATGTCACTATATTTATTTATATTGACATATTTAGTCCCTAATATATTCTCTAAAACTGGAGGGGAAATAAGATACTTTACCTGCACACTGAGGCGGTTGTGACCAGTACCCGTTGAAACATGTCACTTCTACTTCCCCAAACAGTTCAAAAGGTTTGATGCATTCATAACGTGCAGTCTGACCAGGTAGATACCTAGGCTTCTCATTTAGTATAATAGCATTTTCCACTTTGGGTGGATTCTCACAGGAAATATCTGAATAGAAAGAAAAAAATAGCATCTCTAATGTAATGATCATTTTGAATAGCAAATCAATGAACGGGATAAGGGAGATTTAAAATCAACACTTAATCTGTCATACATAAAAGAGTGCCAATTTAGGAAATTTACATATAAGATTAAAGAAAAGGAGATAAATATCTTTTGGCAAGATTTAAGCTTGTGTGAAAATGAGAGTTTTTCTGGACATTTCCCATTTTTAGTAAAATCAATATTACAAATTATATAAATTCAATATGAATTTGTAAACCACACGAAAATAATAATAAAAAATCATTTGATGTCAAATTTTGGCTGGCAATCATCCTGTTTATGAATGTGATTTTAGGCTCTTAGAAAAATAAACACGGTAGGCACTTCCTTAGACAATAAATGAAGAATTAACACACTTTAAAGAGTATTAGAGTTGAAGGGAAAAGATGATTAACTGAGGATCCAAACAGGAGATGAGGAAAAGAACAGAAAAATACATGTTTAATTTCTAAAAACACTCTTCAATTATCATTATTATTATTTTTTGCCAATGCTTAAGGACATTTCAATGAGAATTCAAACTGTAATTCACTGGTGAGATTTGGGTGGGTATAAAGAACAACAGGCCACAGCTACGGTTCCTAAACTGGAGCACACATTGAATCCCTTGGGAATTGTTGAGACACTTACAGGGTTGCAGCCCCAGAGTTTTTGACGCAACAGGTCTGAGTGAGCCAGTGAATTACATTGCATTTCTAACGATTGTCCAGAAGATGCTGATGGGGCTATTGCAAGGACCATAGTTTGAGAACCACTGGGCTCAGACTAATCACTGAGAACACAGTTTCATTCCTTTATGTTAAAGCATAAACCTTCTTTGACCTGGCCTCAATCATCTATGTCCATTGTTTAAATGACGTTAGAGGGAATTGTATCTTACATTACTTAAGACATTTTGATAAATAGATTCTAAAATTTTATCGAAGTACCTTTGCATATTGGCTTTCCTATCCATTGGCTCTTAATACACTGTATAAAATTGGGTCCATCCAATTGGTAATTATTTGGACACATATAAGTCACTTTTTCTTCTGACCTATATGAGTCCTTCTTCGGGCCTATGGGTATGGCAATACCAAAGTCAGGCAGGCCAAAACAATCCGTTTCTGAAAGAAAAGAACATGTACTTCTTTGGTAAATCTTTTAAAACACATAATGACCAATATCTAGAATGTAGAATAATAAGTACACATCAAACCAATGGGCACTGTACACAATTTTTGTAAGTTGAAAAACTGTGTTAGAAATCTTTTGACTTAATTATATTGAATTGTCCTATGTTTATCACATAAAATATGTGGACAATGATATGGGAAGTCTGAAAAGGTAGAGATACATGTAATGCTTGATATCACATTTCTTCCACTGAAATTCTTTTTTGCTCATACGAGCCATCTACATTATGCATGTATTTGTATTTTTGGTTTCTGTCAAAATCTGTTACTTTTAATTATATCAAATATCTTAGAAAAGTATGTACTTCTAAGGAGATAACTGATAAACTAACAGTAAATTGAATAATGATGAGCTTGCTGAGCAGGGACCAGCTGTGATCCAGGCACAGAGAGGAGGAGTCTGTGGACATGTATCAGAGGATGCCGAATGTGCACATGAAGTGACGTGAAAGTGAAATAATTTGGGCTCATGCTGTCACACTTTTATTATTAGTAGGGTTATTAATTCTCTACCAGACTCCACAACTTTCCAGAGATACCTTGTTAAATTCTAGAATTACTGCCTGGTTTCATATTTGTACCATTTATGCTCTGAATTAAGAATATTGATCAACTTTAGAGTAAAATTAAATACACTGTACTTATGCATTCTGGTGGATGAGACCATTTTCCTCCTAAACACTTTATAGATGCAGATCCTTTAGTCCCAAAACCTTTTTCACATTCGTATACTATTTCTTCTCCATACTGGTAAGTGTCTGCTTTGTGAAGAGGAAAACTATGTGGAACCACATATTCTGGTGGTGCACAAGGAAGCCCTAAAAAAAAAAAAAAGAAAGAATGACTTCATATTTCATTAACTCTGAAATTTCATTTTAGGTACTTGTTGCCATATTTGGCAGTCTAATTTGAAAAGAAGTGGTAACACAGGAGCTACGATCATAACACAGAGAAGGTGCACAAATGCTTCCTAAAACCACCACTCTGATGTGTGTCCAGCTGGCAACCTGAGCAAGAGCTTGAAACTAAAAAAATCAGTATATTATCAGCTGTAGCAACTTCTTTCTAGATATGTCTCCTGAGGCAAGGGAAACTAAGGCAAAAATAAACTATTGGGACTACATCAAAATAAAAAGCTTCTGCACAGTGAAGGAAATAATAAAACTAGAAGGTAGCCTACAGAACAGGAAAAGATATTTGCAAATGACATATCTGATAAAGGGTTAGTATCCAAATATGGAAAGAACTTATAAAGCTCAGCACCCCAAAAATGAATAATCCAATTAAAAATGGGCAGAAGTCATGAACAGAAATTCTTCCAAAGAAGAGTACAGATGGCTAACATACATGAAAAGATGCCCAGTATCACTCATCATTAGGGAAATACAAATCAAAACCACAATGAGATACCACCTCACACCTGTCAGAATGGCTAAAATTAAAAAAAAAAAAAAAAGAAACAACAGGTGCTGGTAAGTATGTGGAGAGAGGGAAACCCTCTTGCACCGTTGGTGGGAATGCAAATTGGTGCAGCCACTCTGGAGAACAGTATGGAGATTCCTCGAAAAGTTAAAAATAGAGCTACCCTGTGAACCAGCATTTGTACCACTAGGTATTTACCCAAAACAAACAAAAAAACTAATTCAAAGGGATACATGTACCCTGATATTTACAGCAGCATTATTTACAATAGCCAAGATATGGAAGTAGCCCAAATGTCCATTGATAGATAAATGGATAAAGAAAAGGCAGTATGCGTATTACTCAGCCCTAAAAAAGAATGAAATATTGTCTGTTGCTATGACATGGGTGGAGCTAGAGACTATAATGCTAAGCAAAATAAATCAGAGAAAGACAAATACCATATGATTTCACTCACATGTGGAGTTAAAAAAAAACACAAATGAGCAAAGGGTAAAAAAGAGAGAGAGACAAATGTAAAAACAGACTCATAATTATAGAGAACAAACTGATGGTTACCAGAGGGGAAGTGGTTGGGGGGGATGGGTGAAATAGGTGAAGGGGATTGAGGAGGGACCTTGTAATGAGCACTAGTTGCTGTAAGGAATTGATTTATTATTATATTGCACTCCTGAAACTAATATTACACTGTACGTCAACTAACTGGAATTTAAGAAAAACTTAAAAAAATAAAAAATAAAAATGTCAATATATTTATGAGAGAGACTATCAGTGCTTCTTTTTTTTTTTTTTAAGATTTTATTTATTTGACAGAGAGAGAGATCACAAGTAGGCAGAGAGAGAGAGAGAGGAGGAAGCAGGCTCCCCACTGAGCAGAGAGCCCAATACGGGGCTTGATCCCAGGACCCTGGGATCATGACCTGAGCTGAAGGCAGAGGCTTTAACCCACCGAGCCACCCAGGTGCCCCCTATCAGTGCTTTTTTTTTTTTTTTTTAAAGATTTTATTTATTTATTTATTTGACAGAGAGAGAGAGATCACAAGTAGATGGAGAGGCAGGCAGAGAGAGAGAGAGGGAAGCAGGCACCCTGCTGAGCAGAGAGCCCGATGTGGGACTCGATCCCAGGACCCTGAGATCAGGACCTGAGCTGAAGGCAGCGGCTTAATCCACTGAGCCACCCAGGTGCCCCCCTATCAGTGCTTCTTAAACCAATATAGTGAATAACAAAAAGAAGGCATTGGGAGTTAATCATCTTAAGATTAGTACCATATATTGTAAAGAAATCAAGAAGGAAATGATAAGAAAAACAACACAATGCTGATGGCAAAGCAAAGCAAAAGTTATATACAACTTATATAAATAGGTAGGAATATGAATAGGCATACCTATTCATGGTATTTAATAGGTAGGTTTAATTGCACTACACACCTAGTTTTAATTAAACAATTGCCATCATTGAAAGTGATTCTATAGCGAATCAATAAAATTAACAAAAATGGGATAGATTTGATTATGCAGAAATTGGTAAAGTACATGATTATATAAATGATTTTAGATATTAAGAAACCTAAAGGACGGTTTGTTTTTCTTTCTTTCTTTCTTTTTAGGACTCTTTCTCATGACTTTGATGACACATATTAATGGCTCGTACTGAAAATTGAAACTAGAATTTTAGTTTGCATACTGTCCTCACCTACACACAGAGGTAGAGAACTCCATTTTCCCATCTCGCATGTTATCTCCTCTTTTTCAGATATCCTGAAACCATCCTCACAAGTGTAACTTAGTTTGCTGCCATGTGGGTAAAGCTTAGGTTTCAATGTTTCTTTTATTTCTTCTGAAAATTCAGACGATTTAATGGTTCCATGTTCTATACGAGGTGGTTGAGGACACCCGAGTTTTTCTGTATGAAGAACAGAGATCAAAGGGTCAAGTATAGATACAATGCATAAATTGAAAAATGCAATCAAATACCATTTAGGGTTTTAGAATAAGGATAACTTGGACAAATTAGATACCAAAACACTGAAAAACATTTGAAACTTGCAAGCATATGTATCTCCATAAAATCGGTGCTATTATCTACTTGTTTGCTATGCCCCTTCGTTCTTGTCCTGTTCATTATGAGGAGTAAAATAGGCGTAAACAGAAATTTTCTATGGTATTTGCACAATAACCCAAAGCTGTTGTCTGTTTATTTCACAGCAGAAGTGAGAGAATACTGATTGATGTGTATACTTAGTTTGTAATTTACTGCTTCGAGGTAAAGTGAAACAGATCTAGAGAAAGGTCTTCATCTTGTTCCTTTACACAAAGCACAGAGGAGCATTAACCTCACTTGGAAGAATGTTATAAAGCAAGTTATGGGCTACTGACCAACACAGCGTGGTATTGACTGCCATCTTCCATCTCGGCACACAATTTCTTCTGCACCCTGAATTATATAATTGTCTTGACAGACAACAGATACTTTTTCTCCATCCTGATAATTCACCGTCGTTGCCATATTTTGAGCATTGGGAATCTGAGGTGGAGGGGGGCACGGCTGTGTTCTAACTTCTAAAAATATTAAAATTAGATTTCTTGATTAAAAATCATGTTAAACATGTTGCAAAGATAATTAAAACAGAAAACTCACTAATAATGTACCGTTAATGATTAAATAATGACATTATGGTCTATATTTAAACATCTTATTCTCATCAGCTTGTAGAGCAATTTAATATATCACATGTGGTTTATAGTCTCACCATCTAGTAGTAACTGCGTTTTATTCTTTCTGTGATAAATCTTGCGTAATTTATATAAAACTTATTTTAATGATTTCTAACCGTTTGGAGGTTCTAACTGAATTGTCTACTCAGTAAGAGGCACTAAATAAGTACTGATATTGGGATCCTGTTTACAGATATCCATAATCAAATGTATTGTGATTGGATTAAAATCTTCACAAGATGTGGAATGGAAGCTAATTAGTCAGAGGAAGAATTACATATAGTTAATGATCAATTATCAATTGATACAAATTGAAACAATTGATAATTATCAGTTTCAGATTCTTGGCTCAGATAAGAATTAGATATGGTCTTTAATTATAGTGTGTTTTTGTTTTTTAAGATTTTATGTATTTATTTGACAGAGAGAGACACACAGAGAGACAGAGAGGGAACACAAGCAGGGGGAGCAGGAGAGGGAGAAGCAGGCTTTCCACTGAGCAGGGAGCCCGATGTGGGGCCTGGATCCCAGGACCCTGGGATCATGACCTGAGCTGAAGGCAGACACTTAACAACTAAGCCACCCAATCGCCCTTATAATGTGTTTTTAAAGTTACAAAACTCTCTGGAGGTACTGTTTCCTAGCTTGCCTACACTGCTGAGAGATAGAAAGGTTAATGAAATGCACCCTCTTGACAGATCAGACAGGCTGGCTTCAGTTGCATGACCAGCAAGGGACACACGATTCCTCTGTAAACTCGTGTTTGAGCTCCCAAAGAACTGAGATATCACACATGTATGGTGGCAGCTCTTAATCTGAAGACAAAGCATGTTTGTTCAAAACTGAGGGAAGACTCTGGATAGCTCTACCTGGAGGCTTTTGGACCTCTTTATGATTCCTTCATTTTGCTTTCTCCTGTAGTGTGTTTATTTCATTAAAGGCCTTATGTGAGTGTACACGGGGAAGTCTTTTTTTTTTTTTGAAGATTTTATTTATTTATTTGACAGACAGAGATCACAAATAGGTAGAGAGGCAGGTGGAGAGAGAGGAGGAAGCCGACTCTGTGCTGAGCAGAGAGTCCAACATGGGGTTCGATCTCAGGACCCTGAGATCATGACCTGAGCTGAAGGCAGAGGCTCTAACCCACTGAGCCACCCAGGCACCCCAACTGGGGAGTCTTGTAAGTCCCTTCAGTTACCCAAGATTTTGTAGTCAATGCAGAGAAATATTTGACTAAATACACTCTATTCATGCTTACTAATATTTTCTATTTCTATCTTATATTTTCTCTTTCTCATATTTTCTATTTCTAAGTGTAGAAGTATTTTATATTTAACCAGAAACTTTTTTCTTATTTGTTCTAAATATCTTGGCATATTTTTTCAATGAAGTATCAAGGACTGAGTTTCTTCTGTATCTGATGTTTAACCATTTCTGCCCTAATAATCTTAATTTGTACTTCTTCTGATACATTTGCCAGAGTTTGGTCTAGCAACTAAATTTCCCTAAAGGCAAAATTACTATTCTGCAAATCATCTCTTTATGCTTTTTAAAAAAGCTTCTCTATATTTTTGTATTTTAATTATTTGTATTTTATTTTATTTCCAGTTTTTAAAATTATTTTCTTTTTTTTGCAGTACTTTGTGCAGCAATCAACTTTTTTTGTGTACACATTTAATTTTATTGTAACAAAGCAACTTGTACACTTTTAACGTTTAAAACTGAGCATCATCTTTCCTTTCCAGTGAAAAAAAAGAAAATTTAAAAATAAACAGGAACAAAATTACAATAGAGAATGTCAATTCCAAATAAGATCCTACAAGTTCTGCTGATTCTTCCATCAAGTGGCAGGGCTCAAGTCATCGTTAGGAGAGAGTTTTATTTTAAAAGTGTCATTTTAAACTGCAAGGATGTCCTTTAAACATACAATTAAACATGCCAAAGGAGAAGCCATGTTGTCAAAATGCCCACTTAACCCACCCAAACATCTCAAACCCACCCTTTGCTGACCTTCTATAACCCCATTTTTTAAAGTTTTTTTTTTCCTTTTTTTTAAACAAGAGAAAGTAGACAGGTACATGTTGGTAAATGCTAACTGTCCATATTCACATAGAGACACAGGTAATCTCTGAGCCCAATATACAGAGAAAGGAGGAAAAAAGCTAGAATTCCATGCACTACTACACAGGGGCCTAGCACCCTCCAGCTTCCAGCAGAGCTAAGGGAGCAGAAGCTCCCCCCCCCCCGCCTCCCCCCGCACAGAGCACGTTGGTGTTGATTTCATACAGTTTTTGTTTTTATTGAGACAGGAAGGGACAAAAATGAATTTGGAACAAAAAGGGGTAGAGATTCTTTTCCCACTGTATTCTGCTCAAGGTATTTCCCCCCCAAATAAGCTGAGAACCATGGTATAAAGGGAGAGAAAAAGGAGACTTCAAAAAACAGGGCGAATGAGCACGAGAGGAGAAAAGAAAAAGAAAAAAAAAAAAAAAAAAAAAAAAAACCGGCACTCGCTCCCAGGGACTGAAGAAAATTAAAAAAGGTAGGTTGGAATCCATCAGTGTTCCATTCGTCATCTTCTCCTTCATCCTCCTCTGCTTCCTCCCGTCTCATCATCATCTTCATCTTCTTCACCATCCTCATCTCCTGCTTCATCAATATCCTCCAATCCTTCTTCTTCTTCTTCTTCATCATCATCATCCTCTTCTCCTTCCCATTCTTCGTCATCCATATCGGGAACCAAGTAGTACTGTAATGCATTTGGCCAAATATCATCTTTGAGGACCTCTCCTAACTCATCTGCGCCTGCATCAGAATGGTCAGTAAACCAGGTGAAGAAGCTCTCTGGGTCCTCACGCTGTCTCTTCCTGCTGGCTTTATTCTGTGTTTGACTTGAACGTTTCGTCAAATCCTTTCCAGATTTCCATTGGATTTCAGTGGATATTGAAGATGGATCACCACTCTCATTCAGATGGAATTCTTTGGAGAGAACTTTATTTTCGAAGTAAGGGTTTTCATCAAAATAAAAATCTATTCTGTAACCTGATTTAATATCTTCAAATTCTGTCACTTCAACTCTTGTCAAACAATGCAGCGCCTCTTCATCCTCCTCCCCAGGCAGTGCAGACACTTGTGGATGGTTGACAAATGTTGTTACCCCCAAATTGGGGATTTTGGCGATCAATGCCGACCTCTTCTGGAAAAAAAAAAAAAAAAAATGGTTGACGGAGTTTGTTATATTTCTGTTCTACTTTCAAAATCTCCTCACTGGCTTGTTCATTAAGTCTGTCTATTTCATTTTGTACGTCATCAATATGTTCAATTGCTTCTTGCTGATCTTTTTCTGAGGGTCTCGTCGGCCCCGTAGTGGTTGGAGTTGCGCTCGTTTTTACTGACTTCGGCCGCCGGCGCCGACAAGGTGCTGCTCCGCGGTCGTGGCAGGGACGGGGAGAGAAGGGAAGGCGAAGGCGGCGGGCAGCGGCTTCCCCTCACGCCACACGAGCCTGCGCGCGCTAGTTCCGGCCGTCTCCTCCCGGCGCTCGCTCGCTCGCTCGCTCGCTCGCTCGCTCGCTCTCCCTCCCCCTGGCTCGTGCGCGCTGCCTCCGCAGCCTAATGGCAGAGGCGCTGGGGCGGCGTGCCGGGCCCCGGCCCGGGCTTCTGCTTACGGAGGGGAAGCGGCGGCGGGCGGGCTGGCGGCTCGGCTCCCTCACTCACTCTCCGCTGTCCAGCTCGCGGCTCGCTCTCCCCGAGCCACCTCCCCAGCAATCAACTCTTAAAGGAGAATGAATCTATTTAGGAAAAAATAAATATTTGGAGATTAAGCAAAAAAATTGTAAATAAATGACAGATTAAAGAAGAATTCACAAGGAATATTAGAAACCATTTCAGAGAGAATTAAATGAAAATGAAATGTATATAAATTTTTGAGACTGCTACAGCAGTACTTGGAGGGAAAATTGGAGTTTCTCTTTAAAAAGTAGGATGATTTAAATCCATGTTTCAATTTTCTACCTTAAGAAATGAAATATAAAATTAAAATCAACATCATTAGAATGAAGAAAAGAAAAAACAGGTCCACAGAAGAGAGAAAATTGAGAAAGACAAATAGAAAAAAGAAAACAGAAAAGACAGTGAATGTTAATAAGGCTAAAAAAATAGATGAGTAAATGAAGAAAATTAAGTATTAAAATTGGTTATTTGGAAATATTAATAAAACTGAAGAAAAAAAACCCCAGGAAGAATAATCAAGTATAAGAGAGAAACAAATATCAATGTCAAGAATGAAAGAAGTGATACCAACAAATAAACTATATAATTAAAAGGAAGATAGAATATTAAGTGACTATTAAAACACTTGTATACCAATCAACTTCATAAAGTAGATAAGAGATATTTCTTCAAAAATACAACTTCCTTGCATTGACAAAAGACAATAAGGAAATATGAATATTTCATTACTTATTAAACAAATTGAATTATTCATCAAGAAAAACTTCCAAATAAAGCAAATTATATATCAGATGACTTTGTGGGTAAAGTCTATCAAACATTTAAGGTAAACATAATAAAATAATAATATGTGTAATAATAAAATTACATAAATACTTTCAGAAAACAGAGAAGCAGAAAGCAGTCCTCATTTTGTTTTATGAGGCCACGATAATCCTAATAAGAAAACTTGGGAGATGCATTTAAAGAAAAAGTAACTATAGATTTATATTCCCCATGAATATAGATGCAAAACTCCTTAAAAATATATCAGCAAATTGAGTACATGAAAATGTAGAAAGAATAACATGTCACCATCTAGTAGAGTTAACTCTAGGGAAGAGAGATTTGTTCAACATCCCAAGATTCATGTCTGTACCTCACTGTATTAACAGAATTAAGGAAGTCATATTATCATATCAAGAGATACATAAGAAGCATTTAAAATCATTCAACATTGGTGATCATAAAATTTCTCAGTTAAGTGAGAATGGAAGGCATTGTCCTTAAACTGATAAGGGCATTTACAGAAATCCTAAACTGATATTATACTTGTGGTAAAATGTTGAATACCCTTTCCCAGTGATCAGGAATGGGACAAAGATGTATGTTCTCATCACTTCGTTTCAACAGTTTACCAGAGGTCCTAGTCAGTAAATAAAAATGAATGGGCAAAAATAAAATCTTATATTTTCAGTGATATAACTGCTTACAGAGATTGCAACAGATCTACAAAATAGTACCTAAAATGAATAATGGAACTGGTATAGTGTCAGAGTATAAAATCAATGTGCTCGATTCGAGTGGGAGGGCAAATGCATAGGAAGAAACTGACCTCACCTCCTCCCAGCGACTCACAGGTGTATATGGAACAATTTCCTCTGAAAATGACCTGAAAACTAGCTGAATAGCTCCTTCACAACAAACAGTGAAAGAGCCACTTCCAGGTGGGTATGAGAGTCCGAGACCCAGTAGGGACAGAAACCCAATATTGTGATATTTATGACATTCCTAAATATTATAAAAAGTGCATTTTTCAAATTTGGAACCCTCCTATCTTGCTAATTAATTTGCAAAATTAAAAACTGGAATTTAAATATTAGAATCACACTAAAATGAAAAACAATCCTTTGACATATTAGAGCATTTGTAATTATTAAAACATTTTGCAGATAAAGAAGAATGAACAAAGCTCCAAATAAGCTTGGTTGTTGCCTTAGGATACATGTTTAGTCAAATTGGAATTTAGTGAATGAGGGAATTGGAATTGACCAGAATGACTCCACAGGATTCACTTATACTTCCTTATCCTTTAATCACTTCCTTCTCTTCACATCTATGAGAACAGCCATTCCAAAATGTTTTCTTTTCCTGTTCTCTGGGTCCTCCTTTTTCTAGTTACCTTGCCCTATTTCTCTTCTGCCTGACACCTAAACATTGGAATGCTTCAGGGCTCAGTCTTGAGCTCTCTTCCCTTTTTATTCTGTATTCTTTTCCAGTTTGCTATCATCATTTATTGGGTGACAATTCCAGATATATCTCTCTTAGTTAGACCCATATATTCAGCTCCGTAGTTTACATATCCAATTTTGACTGTCCTTGGGCAGCTCAACCATAACGTGTTCAAATCAAAAGTTATGATGTTCCTCCCAAAGTGCTCTTTCTTCTGTCAGCACCACCTCACAGAAAGGCATTGCCATTTACCCGCTTGCTTATGAAAAAAATTTAAAACAAGCATGTGAATCCCTTGACTATTACTCTGTCTTGCATCCAGTATTTAGTAAACATCAGCTGTGTTTTACCAAGAAAGTAGATCTCGAATGTGTTCTGCTTTGCATCTCGTCAGCCGTCACCTTATCCCTATCCCCACACGGACTCATCCTGCATACACTCGTGAATCCTTTCTTCCCCACCACAAGTACAATGTACAGAGAAAAAAAAAACACCTCTAAATACATTTATATTCTTTCTTTCCTTAAGACTTCTTTAGGGCTTTTTATCAATTAAAAAAATTAATCTAAAGGCTGACTTGCCTTGAAAATAACCTGAATAATCCTTTTTTGCTTCCTATCCAGCTTCAGTCCATAAAACTCTCCCAAATCCTGAGTAGAACCTGCTCACCCTGATATTTCCCAAATATTGTTTCATTGTCAAGGTTTTGCACAAACTGTTCCTTTGGCTTGGAACACTCTAAATCCACTCAAGTTTCCCACAGATTCAAGTCCTTCTCCTACTCCTAGAAAATAGTGGATTCGCAAACACACAGAGAGTCATGTAATAATTGTCCATGGAACTTGTCAAAGTCAGAAAAGAAAGAGCTTTGGGAGCTGAGGAAATTAACACTTGAGGTAGAAGGTGTAAAAGCTGAAACTCAAGAGCAAAACAGCTGAGGAAATTGTTAGAAACTATAGTTTTGGTTTTCTTACGTCATACACTAAAAGACCCCCATTTAAAATAATATGAAAGACTGAATTTGGATTAAGAAACATGATTATACTTTATTTACAAATCTATCATGCATATGGCCCATAGGAAACATTAATGTACTGTGTTAAAGATAAATTATTGTCTTTGGGCCTTAAAACACCCTGTTCTCCCAGGTTGCATTGAATCAGGAGACACTTGTTCTTAGTCATTATCTCTTAATAATGAATTTAAATAATGCAAATTTGTTCATAATGGAACATTTTAAATATATTTTGTTGATTTTGTTAATCCCGAAAAAAAGAATACCTGAAAAAACAGCACTTACCATAACATGCTGGTTTATGAGACCAACCGTCATTACCACACACTATGGAACCTGCGCGCCCATCTCTGCTTTCAAATCCATCAAGGCATTCATAGTCCAACGTGTCATTGACTTTAAACCACTGGCTATTGCTTCTGATTCTGGCATTCTCCAATACTGGCGTGTCACAAGATTCTAATGCATAGTAGAATCCAAGGTTTCATTTCTAATATTTTTTAATGGACAATGCAATTAAATCTCATCCCAAAGAGGTAAAAAACTTTAATTAGTATGTGCTAATAAATTATGTATCATATTAAAAGGATCTAAGAATACCAGTGATAAATCATTGTCCTGAAAAAGTTACTCAAAATGAAAACAAAAATGTGTCTACACAGAGTTTTTCTTATCGCTTAAATACTATGAAAAATTTATTCTAAGAACACTTTTCTCAATATACTTACATGTTTATCCCATGCTTATAATAAAATAGGCCATTACAGATGTATCATACCTTATCTAGCAAAGCAGAATGACATTTTGTTAATTAAGTTGACAGACTCATTAGCAGTGTGACAAATAGGCCAGATTGGTTGATTCAAGATTTTCAACTGTGCAAGTAAATTTTTAAACATTCTATAAAACTGTACTTGCCTCATCCCTTACACACAGCTAGAGAAATACCAAATCATTCTGAACACCCACAAAATTGATCTGCGTATTGATAAACTGAACAACTAGGGAGAGAAGGGGCCATATCATGGAAGGTAGGAGGTGCAGAGACTGGATTTAGGGGAGAAATGGATCACAGGTACTGGGGAGGGGAGCACTGGTCATGGAGAGAGGCAGGAGAAAGAGGGAATGAGAGAGAGAGGAGTACACAGGGGATTGCACAAGGAAAACACATCCCCAAAGACACTGACTGGGAAGATGAGAGGGGCTGATTTTTGTGAGATTTTACAACCAGTGGGTTGAAAGACTAGAGTTTTAGAAGTCTGCCGCATGGCCAGTGCTGAGTCCTGAGGGCCCTGCAGTGTTCCTGTGGAGAAGGAGGGCAGATAGCCTGGGGGCAGAAGATGCAGTCTGAGGATCCCCTGGGATGTCCTGGGAGAGACTGTTCCCTCCTCTTGAAGCACATCTGGGAGAGGTAGCATTCATTGTCTCTCTGGGAGAAAAAACTGACAGGCACCATTTCCCAAGACATCTGCTGAGGGCAGCTAATTCAAACACTGGTTCTTTGACACATTTTGCTCCAAACTACCATGGCCTTGTGCTTTGGTGCGACTGCCCTTCTGGGATAAACCTGCATCAGTTCCAACATGGTGAGACCTTCCTGCAGAGGACCAGCACAGGTCTGCACCATGCCAGGTCGCTAAAGTTTTGAGTTCTAAAACTCAGCTGGTCTGCCTGGGATAGATCACAGGTGGGCAAGCAGATGGCCCAGACACAGTCAGGGTGAAGGCAGTATCTGAGGGACATCTGGAACACATAAGGGGAGAGTGTTCCCTCTTTTGTGAGGGCTTTCCCGGCAGCAGTGGGCACGAACTCCCCTTTCCAGGGACAAGGGAGAGGACTGGCAGCATTTCCTGCCCCTGTGTTCTTTCTTTTGGGAAGAAATTCTCAGTCCTGACATTTTGTCTAAGAATAAGCATCTGACAAAGTATAGTATCCATTCTTGATGAAAACCCTCAACAAAGTAGGGACACAGGGAATGTATCACAACATCATGAAGTCTGAATATGAAAAACCCACAGCTAATATATTTCTCAATGGGGAAAAACTGAGAGCTTTTCCTCTACCAGCAGGAACAAGACAGCGATGTCCATTCTCACAATTGTTATTCAACATAGTACTAGAAGTCATAGATTTCAGCAATCAGACAACAAAAAGAAATAAAATTTCCCATTCAAATTGGGAAGGAAGAAGTAAAACTTTCACTATTTGCAGATGACATGGTACTCCATGTGGAAAACCCTTAAGACTCCACTAAAAAATTGCTAGAAATGATACATGATTCAGCGAAGTTGTAGGATACAAAGTCAACATACAGAAATCTCTTGCATTTCAATACACCCATACTGAAGTAGCAGAAAGAGAAATCAAAGAATTGATCCCATATATAATTGCACCAAAATCCACCTGATACCTGAGAATAAACCTAACCAAAGAGGTAAAATATCTGTACTCTGAAAACTATAGAACACTGATGAAAGAACCTGAAGATCACACAAAAAATTGGAAAAACATTCCATGCTCATGGATCGGAAAAACAAATACTGTTACGAGGTCTATAATACCCAAAGCAGTCTACACATTGAAATCAATCCCTATCAAAATACCACCAGCATTTTTCACAGAGCTAGAACAACCTACCTAAAACATGGAAACACAAAAGCCTGCCCTGCCCCCTGCAAAGCCAAAGGAATGTTGAAAAAGCAAAGCAAAGCTGGAGACATCATGATTCTGGACTCCAAGCTTTATATCAAACCTGGGGTCATCCTAAGAGGTTAGTACTGGTACAAAAACAGATACATAGATCAATCAATGGAACAAAATAAAACCCAGAAATGGACCCACAATGTAAGGTCAACCAATTTTTGACAAAGCAGAAGAGAATATCCAATGGAAAAAAGATAGTCTATTCAAGAAATGGTGTTGGGAACACTGGACAGCCACATACAAAAGAGTGAACCTGGACCACTTTCTTACACCATACACACAAAAATAAATTCAAAATGGACGAAAGACCTAAATGTGAGACAGGAAACCTCTAAAATCCTAGAGAACACAGGAGGCAAATTCTTCCTAGACACATATCCAGAAGCAAGGGAAAGAAAAGAAAAAAAATGAAATATTGGGACTTCATCAGATAAAAAACTTCTGCACAGTGAAGGAAACAATCAACAGAACTAAAAGGCAACCTTCAGAATGGGAAAAGGTATTTGCAAATAACATCTCTGATAAAGGGTTACTATCCAAAATATATAAAGAGCTTATCAAACTCAACACTCAAGGAACAAGTAATCCAATCAAGAAATGGGCAGAAGGGGTGCCTGGGTGGCTCAGAGGGTTAAGCCTCTGCCTTCAGCTCAGGTCATGATCTCGGGGTCTTGGGACTGAGTCCTGCATCAGGCTCCTGCTCGGCAGGGAGCCTGCTTCCTCCTCTCTCTCTCTTTCTCTGCCTGCCCCTCTGACTACTTGTGATCTCTGTCTGTCAAATAAAAAAAAATGGGCAAAAGACATGAATAGGCATTTTCCTAAAGAAGACATACTGATGGCTACCAGACACTTAAAAAAATGATCAACATCACTTGTCCTCAGGGAAAATACAATTCAAAACCACAATGAGATATCACCTCACACCTGTTGGAATGGCTAAAATTAACAATACAGGAAACAACGGTGTTGGAGAGGATGTGGAGAAAGGGGAACCCTCTTACACTGTTGGTGGGAATGCAAGCTGGTGCAGCCACTGTGGATAACAGTATGAAGGTTCCTCAAGACATTAAAAATAGAACTTCCCTACAACCCAGCAATTGCACTACTGGTTATTTATTCCCCAAATACAGATGTAGTGAAAAGAAGGGGCACCTGCACACCAGTGTTCATAGCAGCAATGTCCACAATAGCCAAAATGCAGAAGGAGCAGAGATGTCCTTCAACAGATGAATGGATAAAGAAGATGTGGTTTATATATGCATGGAATATTACTCAGCCGTCAGAAAGGATGAATACCTGCCATTTCCATAGACATAGATGGAACTGCAGGGTATCACCTGCAGGAAGTAAATAAGTGAAAATAAGTAAAAGTGAAATAAGTAAATCAGAGAAAGACAAATATCATATAGTTTCATTTATATGTGGAACATAAGGAATAGCGCAGAGGACCATAGCAGAAGGGAGGGAAAACTGAATGGGAAAGAGTCAGAGAGGGAAACAAACCATGAGAGGCTCTTGACTCTGGGAAACAAATTGGGGGTTACAGAAGGCAGGTGGGTGGGGGGATGGGGTACCTGGGTGAAGGGCATTAAGGAGGGTACGTGATGTGATGATCATTGGCTGGTATATGCAACTGATGAATCATTGAACACTAATGATGTACTATAGTTTGGCTAATTGAATTTAAATAAAAAAATAAAAAAGCGAAATTCAATGATATTTATCACCATACATATTTATTATTACTTTAATTGCTAAACTCCTTTCTTTACTTGGTTTTATGACAATCATTTAACAGTCCATTCTAGAATTTCTTTTTAAAAGGCAAGGGGCAAATAACGAAATGAGCTGAATCCCATCATGGAACATATTCATTATGAAAATGTTTATCATTTCATTCAAATTCCATAAAAAATGGTACTTTTGTGTATTAAATAACACCTGTGTTGGATTTCATATATAGTCATTTTCCCTTTCAGTTTTAGCAAATTTTTAGCACATTTATATTAGGGAATTTTTTTTTTTTTTTATAAACATATAATATATTTTTATCCCCAGGAGTACAGGTCTGTGAATCGCCAGGTTTACACACTCACAGCGCTCATCATAGCACATACCCTCCCCAATGTCCATAACCCCACCCCCCTTCTGCCAACCCCCTTCCCCCAGCAACCCTCAGTTTGTTTTGTGAGATTAAGAGTCACTTATGGTTTGTCTCCCTCCCAACCCCATCTTGTTTCATTTATTCATTTATTCTTCTCCTACCCCCTTAACCCCCCATGTTGCATCTCCACTTCCTCATATCAGGGAGATCATATGATAGTTGTCTTTCTCCGATTGACTTATTTCGCTA